TGGGGCTACAGCCATTTTAACGTCGCCCCCCCCCCGTAGACTTTAAGGTACAATGCTGCCTTTGCCTGCAAGTAAGCGGACTTAGCACCTGATTAGCTGAGTAGCCTTGTGCTCGTTTGGTAGTTTACTCTTCTTCAGTCTCTGGTAGACAGACAGAGCTGCAGCAATCCCAGTGGCAGCTGCGACTGTGACTTGCTCTGCGTGGGACAGCGTGCCCAGGGTGCCGCCTCTCAGGAAGTTAACTAGTCCCCGTTTGTGGAGAAATAACAGCTCTTTCTCGTTTGCGTGAGCTAAACCTAAACCAGTGTCTTTATTTTGTTTATGTACAGCTACGGTTAAGAATAAAAGACACATATTGGTTGAGTTTGCTGTAAGTTTGGGCGGTGCGCAACCTGATAGACCAAACTGAGGGCGTAAGATGACATACCGTACAAGAGGTGAGCTTGATCTATTCACCTTTGTGACACGGCACATAAAAGTACGTTTTATAATATAACTAATAATGGGACGAAGCGTACTGGATTCCCGCCCATTGGTGCTAATCTCTTAAAACACCTTTCGTCTATCATTATTACGACTTTACTTTTTCATAAATTAACATTTAAACAAATTAACAGGGGTCAGAGTGGATCAACGGACCCTTAGGTTGTTAAAATATATGTATCCGCAGAACAGCAAGAGGAAAAAAACGATCATATATAAATAGAGCAAACCGCCACAAATTATATTATAACATATGTGATTAATATGGTTTAAAACTATCAGATATCGTATGTATATATAATTAAACCGACACATGCTGGCGGTAAAGGTTGATATTTTCAACATCCCAGTCCCTCCCCTTCTCGAAACGTAAAGACGCCGATCTCATTTCCACGTTGTAGGGGACAACAGTCTGGATATAACATTTATATGTTTGTTTTGTTAATTTTTGCGGGACAAAATTATTATCAAACTGAATTATTTATATAACACACCGAATACATAAAAGTATGACAGGGAATCAGGTTTATATATAGGAGTTATACTTTGAATGTTTTGCAACCCCCATGCGGACATGTGGAATGGTTCCGTCCAACTGGAACCGACTATTTTTTTTTTTTCTAACGTCGATTGTTTTATTTACAAATCATCTTTCTGACGTGTATCAACCAGATAAATAATTGTTACTAGACAAAAAAAAATTAAGTAAAATTTTAAAGGCACTCGGAAAACCACCCGTAATTAGATTAAATGAATTACATTGTGATTCAATTTCTATACAGGACACCCCTGTCATTACTGAATACTACTCCTGGCACTTCCTCGTTCAAAAGTTTTATTTAGAGGAAGGCTTGAGGGAAAAGTTGGGACACCGGGTTGGACATTTCGACGTTGTTGTGTCAAATATCGAAGGCATGGATCATATTCATCGTGCAATTTGGCACAAGTAGCGTGTGTGTGTGTGTGTATCGCAGTTGTTGTTTCTCCCCCATGGCTGCAGTTATACTAACGTTGCACTGAGCGGCTCCCGTAAAGAGGAAGATGTCCACGGCTAACGTTAGCGACAACCTCCGGGTGAAGTTTCCTCTGCACGCCGCAGTGTGGGAGAACGACTACAGGAAACTGGAGGAAGAAATAACACAGGTGAGTTCACACACCTGTGCTTTCACCGTGCTCGCTCGCTCGGTTACGCGAAGCCGGGAGAGAGATGTTAAACCTCCGTAGCCATCCGAGATAAAAGTAGGCCGGTCCGTGTTGACAGATGCTCCGTCAGATACTTTAAAGTATCAGTGAGGAAATAAAGGTTTCGAAGTTTATTTTAAACGAAATGTATTCTAATGTAGGTGAATTGTCTGTTTCCAGTAGGCTGCTAACCCCAAAGCAATGGATTATCATATAATCTGACCAAAAACTGCTTTAAACCAAATGTCAATGTTTGTGTTGGCTGACACTTTACAGACTGTGCACGATTAGTATTAAGATTATAAAAGTTGCAAGAAGCTGCAGTTGTTTTCGATAAAGGTAAAACGTGTGATAAATATTATTATAATGATACTGTAGTGCTGCAGAGATATTATTATTATTATGCAACACGTTTGTTTCTCCATCATGATTTTAACAGCTGTTGTTTTTCATTTTCAGTGAAAATTAAGACGATTGAGATTTAAGATATGTGTCATAATAAGCACAGTGTGATGTTCTTATCATATCGTAACAGACTGTACAATAAACTGTGCTATAATTAGAGAGTTTATAGTGTTTTAACCTCAGTAGCATGACTCATGTGAGGACCAGACATGATGCCCAGTCTTACTGTCAGTGCACTGACCACTGCGGTCCCGTATTATTATCAGTGATGACCTAAAGGTGTAAAACTCTGACCGTGACAAGGCTCTGCTCTTTTGTTCTTGAAACAGGTTGTAAAGTCAACACTGCAGTATTTAGTCTAAACCGGTGGCTTAAAGTCTCTTACACAAATAAAGCTGCAGAGGTTTCTCCCTGTTTTTCCCCCAGAATGACATTGAGGCCGTGGATCCCAGAGGTCGGACACCTCTGCACCTGGCTGTGTCGCTCGGGCACCTGGAGTCAGTGAGAGTCCTTCTCAGACACGGCGGTGAAGTGACGAAAGAAAACGCCAAGAGTTGGACAGGTCAGTTATTAAAAACAGGCCACATCACCAGACAGAGAATGCTATGGTCAAAATTTCTTATTTTTATTTATTTTTTATTTTTTTATTTATTTATTTTATTTTTTTTAAATAACTGTATTTTATTTTTTTTAAATATTTTTATTTTATTTTTTTATTTATTTATTTATTTTATTTATTTATATATATATTTATTTTATTATTATGTATGTGTGTGTTTGTCTGTTGCTTCAATTGTTAAGGAAATTGACAATAAAAATATAAAAAAAAAGAAAATAAAAAGTGCTATGGTCCCATGAATGTTTCCTTCGCTGGTTTTTGAGGATTTGTGGGTTGTTTGATCACTTAAAGCTCTTCTCAGATTAACTTCCTCATCTGCTCTTAATGTGGTTTCTTGGAATAATGCACATCCATTCCTCTGGCTGCAGTAAAACAGTTTCACTTTCTTTTTGTTATTACTGTCACTGTTGAGGTTGTTTTTTTTTAATGGATAGTTGCCACAACTGGGGAGCAGATGCTGTTCCCTTAAAAGGTTTAGTGGTTTGTTTATACATGTCTGTGTCTGTGTAGTGCTGCAGGAGGCAGTCAGCACCGGAGATCCAGAGATGGTTCAGTTAGTGCTTCAACGCAGAGACTACCTCAAAGCCTCCACTGCTCTGGGAGGAGTGCCTGAGCTGCTGTCAAAGATCCGAGAGGTTTTACTTTTAAATATCTCTCCATTGTCTTGTCGTCTATGGAAATACGTACTGGCAGAGGGAATAATTGCTCTGTGTATCTTTTCATCCACAGTCTCCAGACTTCTATATGGAAATGAAGTGGGAGTTTACCAGTTGGAGTAAGTTCTTCTCGTGTGTGTGTTTGTGTGTGGATATCATAAAAGTAAAAAAAATTACACTGCGTCCATGGTAACCTGTTCATGTAGTACAGGCTGGTTATCAGCAAATTAGTGTTCATTAGGTTTCTATTGTTGTGTAATGTAATTAAATATCTACATAGAACACATAATCTTTGGTAGCATCAAGTCATACAGGATAAACTGCATACCTTCCTTTTGGTATTTGAGGCATTTGTTTTTTGTTCGGTAATGATGAACCACTTTGTTTTTCACGTGCGGATGCATTTCTTTCCATTGTGGGACATTCATGTGCTGTTGTTTCACAGTCCCTCTTCTGTCCCGGGTTTGTCCAAGTGATGTTTGTCGCATTTGGAAAAGTGGCGCCAGCCTGCGAGTGGATGCCACTCTTCTAGGCTTTGAAAACATGACCTGGATCAGAGGGCGCAGAAGCTACATCTTCAGAGGAGACGGTTTGTCTTTGAACTCTCTTACACACGCAGTTCCCTCTATGACTTGTACTAGTTCTGTATAATTATTTAAGTCTATTGCCGACTGTTTTTTGACAGATTCATATGCAGAGTTGATGGAGGTGAACCATGACGATGAAGTGGTGGACACTGAACGCTTCAACATATCCCAAGAAATGGAGGATGTCACACTTGAGTCGATGCAGCCTGCTGAACAGGAAATTGCCAAAAGATTGACCACTCCTATTGTCAACACCTACTTAGACACGAGGGATATTGCTTTTGAGAGGCAAGAGTCACATCTTTTTCTGTCGTCCTTTTTCCCCACAACACACACAGATCCAATTCCCTTTGATCAGCCTAGAACAAACTCTTTGACAGTGTTTGATGACAGCTGACATCTTGTGGTATTTTCACACTTAATGTCATTACTCTCTGAGTGAGGTTGCTGTGTAAACAGTGATTCAATTAGGTGTCATCATTTGGCAGTGCCCTCTGGATGATATTTCCAGTATCATCCTAGCATCTAATTGTCTAAAATACAAAGGTCGTTCTACCATCAACCCTCACTCTTGCACGTTGGGTGTGTGTGTGTAACCCAGTAAACAAACAATGTCGGGTTATAATAGATATTAATAATGTGAGCAAATTTAACTAGGCGTGTTAGTTAATAGCCTGATAATATATCTTCATCTGGATAATTTACTCAAACACAGGTGACAGACAACTGTAATTATATTTGTCTTTGATATTGGGTCTTTTTTACAGTGGACATTTTATCTTCTCTAACACGTGTTTGTCACCATATTTGATCTAAAAACAAAATTTCACAATAGAACTCAACATTGCCAAAGCCTTTAAAATGAGTGAGCAATCA